CGTGACAAAGTGAAGCCGAATGTGGTTGTTGCTGAGGCCAATTAAGTAGCGGGGAGTGCGTGGGAGGAGTGCGGCGACGACGGCGGCGGCGGCGAGTGCACTCGTGTCCGGTGATGTGCGTGCGAGCGAGCATGGGTGCGTGCGTGCGAGTGGGTGGGATAAGAGTGGGCATTTGAGGAGGGGAAAGAGGAGGCACTACTAGGAGGCGAGAAGTAGGGGAAAAACGACTGGAAGCAGTTTGGCGGCAGGACGAGAAGGAGAAGTGGAAGTGGTGTGGGGAATAGTGGGTAGAAGGCGGATACGCTGGTAGAGGGGTGAGAAAGGCGGAAAGGGATGCATGTTTTGGGGGTGGGTGGGAAGAGTTGGCAAGTGGATGGGAGAGGTAAGGAGCCGCGACTGGCGCCGGCGCAGCTGCTTGGCCGTGTTGGGTGCAGCGGTCAGTCGTTGTGTGTACTGTGACTGGTTGATCAGTCGGTCTCCTGGCTGTTCGTGGGGGCAGTAGTCGACTGCTGTGGTCAATGCGGCTACTACGCTGCATGGTTACAGTTGCTGTGGTGTGTGGTCGGATGTGATGGGCTTAAGCCAGCTCGTCCCGGCCCTCCTTCCCTGCCTGCCTGCCTGCCTGCCCTGCTTGCTTGCCTGCTGCTGCTACTGCTGGTAGTCCAGCCAGCTGTGGCTGCCGTGGGACCGGTCCACCGGTGGTGGATGCGGCATCAGGCTAGCTGGCTGGCTGGTAGTAGTAGTGAGGTGAGAGGTGAGAGGGCGAGAAGGAAGGCAGTGGCAGCAGTAGCAGGCTTCTTCTTCTTCTTCAAGTATTTTTGGTAGTAGTAGTAGCTGTCTAGCCTCCGTTACTGGGTATACGTGAGCACCACTACGCATGCTGTGTCTACGCTGATGTGTGGACTCCATGCTACCTACTCCTATAGTACATATTACGTAATCCGGAGTACATCTGATGCCTTCAGATCCCTCTAGAAGCACCATTACGCCACTCATTGCGTCACAATGAGCCCTGGAACGTGTCAAGGACAAATGACGTCATTTGGACCCTTCTCCTGCCTCCCATTGGGACTAAGAATGGACTTTATAGGTGACGGTAAGTGCAATATGAGCAAGTAGACTGACATTGGTGGGATTAATTGTTGATTTCTTGCTATGATGTTTCCCCGAGTTGTCGGTTCGGTCAAGGTTTGCTAGA